CAAGTGTGTCGTGTCCTCTTCTTCTGTTAGGGTTTGTGTAAGCTCTCAGTCCGTACCAGGGATTAGTCAAAGCAAAGGAGGTTCTCACCCATCATCTGTTACTACTTAGCAAGTTTTCCCGACGTGATGTGGGAAATGTTCTATAACAGTGTCTCCCAAAGTGGGGTCCGCGGCCCCCCTGGTGGGCCGCGAGGGTACTGCAGGGGGGCCGCGGGAGGTCATAAAAAAAATAAAAAAATAATATAATTATTTAATGTTAAATTTATAATGTTTTGTTTGTAATATTAAAATATTTGTGTTCATTATTTGACTTGAATAATCCACTGTAATCATTTTTGTATTACAATGTTTGTAGCAGAGGCTATTTCCCCAAAATAAAATAACCAGAAGAGCCTATTCTTAATGTTGTCTTCTTGGTTATTATTTTGGGGGGCCACGCAGACCCGTCAGATTTTTAAGGGGGCCTCGGTGTTACTGAGTTTGGGAATGGCTGTTCTATAAAAACACGGCTGCTTTCATCCTGCATTCCCTCTCTTCTCCACCAGAAGGCGACAGAGCACTATTGCTGAGGGTCCGCTGTGTTTCCAAATAACCCACTCCTCTCCTCAGTCTCTCGTGACCACAGATCAGAAGGTGTAAAAACAATTGTGTGTTGTGTTTTGGTGTCATTTCTTTTTGACAAAAAACAAAACAAAATTATCGCCTCCTCTCAGATCAAATATTTTTATGTGATTCATTTTGAGTCAATAATTACCTAGTCTCTAATAATTATTTTGATTTTTTTTTTCCGGCTCCAGTTGCTCACAGACAAACAAACGCTGTTGATCACTTCGCCCCCTGCAGAGTGAAGTAAAGGGGTAAAGGCATTCATAAAAAGTATCAATGCAATCCTAATGTATAACTACACATAATAGACATTTAACAGTAGCAATAGCAGTAGTAGAAGAAGTAGTAGTACAGTAGTAGAAGAAGTAGTAGTAGTAGAAGCAGTAGTAGTAGTAGAAGCAGTAGTAGTAGTAGAAGCAGTAGTAGTAGTAGAAGCAGTAGTAGTAGTAGAAGCAGTAGTAGTAGTAGAAGAAGTAGTAGTAGTAGAAGCAGTAGTAGTAGTAGAAGCAGTAGTAGTAGTAGAAGAAGTAGTAGTAGTAGAAGCAGTAGTAGTAGTAGAAGCAGTAGTAGTAGTAGAAGCAGTAGTAGTAGTAGAAGCAGTAGTAGTAGTAGTAGAAGCAGCAGTGTAGCAGCAGTAGTAGTAGTAATAGTAGTGAGCAAGTGTCAGAGGATGTGCAGTAAATCATGTCCTCCCTGGAGCCAGAGCCAGTTTTATGAATGAAATCTTCCGAATCTGTGAGTTCTGTTTAAGTTGAGGAGAATTATAGGAGTGAGGGTCAGGGCCGAGACCTCATCAGTCTCATAACTCACACGGGAATCCAACCGGCAACCTGAACCCTGCACACCCCTAAGTTGTTGTTGTTGTCTAAGCCCAAATTGTTGCATGTTTGAGTAATCCCAGGACTCTGGTTTGAAGTCCATCTGACGCGTTGCCATGGCTCCCACACTCCAACCAGGAAGTGAAGATGAAGAGACTGTATTGGTCCCACAGTGGGGAAAGTTCAGTGTTGCATCACTAGTGACAGAACAGTAGGATTGAAGAGCAGACAGTACAAGATAAGCGAACTATGACTCCATAATAAAACACAATTATGTAAAAGCAAAGGAAGGTTTCTCACCCATCATCTGTACTTCTTAGCAAGTTTTCCCGACGTTTCGTCCTCAACCTGGGGACTTCTTCAGGGAATGAATTCTCGGACCGCGCGTTGGAGATTTATAACCTATGGGTGTGGTAAGCCACACCCTAATCCTGATACTAACTCGTAAACAATCTCAGGTCTGCTTGATGTAGAAGGGAGCAGGTCTAACGACCCTGCTGAGGCTAACGACCCTAACTCCTTAGCATGTCATAGACCTATTGTCTGCTGGGATGCTCAAGTGGAGTGCAGGTCTCACCCCTCCTAACTCATTAGCATGTCACTGACCTTGTCCCAAGTTAGGGCGTTGTTTTTAGGATGTCGTCATAGATGCGAGGCAAAACAAATCTTAACCCTCCTCCTCTGTTGAGAGAAGGTTTTTGTTTCCTCACAAAAATGGCTTCTTTCACTCCTCTCTCAAACCAATTCTTCTCCCGAGCCAGAATTTTAACCTCTGTGTCATCCACCGTGTGGTTGGAGGCCTTGAGGTGGAGATGAACCGCCGACTGTGGCCCACCAGCGTTTTCTCTACGATGTTGGTAAAGTCGTTTCTGTAGAGTTTGTTTGGTTTCTCCAATATAGTGGTCAGTGCACTCCTCTTCACTACATTTAATTGAATACACCACATTGCTCTGTTTGTGTCTGGGTGTTTTGTCTTTGGGATGCACTAATTTCTGTCTTAACGTGTTGAAAGGTTTGAAATACACAGGGATTTTGTGTTGCCTAAAGATTCTTTGTAGTTTCTCTGAAACTCCCGCCACATACGGTAAGGACACCCCTCTCCTCCTACTTTCTTCTGTCTGTAGGACTGTGTCTCTGGCCTTTCTCGTCCTTTGGGCTTTAGTAAAAGACCACTTGGGGTAGCCACATCTGGAAAGTGCTCTCTGAACATGTTTGGTTTCTTTGTTCTTTCCCTCCGAGCTAGTGGGGACCTGGTGGGCTCGGTGTTGAAGCGTTCTAATGACCCCGAGTTTGTGTTGTAGCGGATGATTTGAATCAAAGGCCAGGTACTGGTCAGTGTGAGTGGACTTTCTGAAGACCTCAGTCTCTAATTGTCCGTTCTCCAGTATGATGACCTTACAATCTAGAAAGGCGAGTTCACTCTCCTTAGCATCCTCGCGAGTGAAATATATAAAAGGGTCCACCGAGTTAATGTGTGCTGAAAATGGTTCCACTTCCTGTTTCTTTAACTTAACCCATGTATCGTCTACATATCGAAACCAATGGCTTGGCGCTATCCCTTGGTAAGAGCCCAGGGCTTGTTCCTCCAGTTTCTCCACATACAGATTGGCCACTATAGGAGAGACTGGGGAGCCCATCGCACAGCCATGAATCTGTCTAAAGAAGGTGCCTCTAAATTGGAAATACGTGGTGTTAAGACACATTTCAAGTATTTCACAGATATGGTCAGCTGTTAGTTTCGTTCTCTCCCCTAGTGTGGCGTCTTTCTGTAGGCTTTCTCTTACAGCCTCCACCGCCTCTGTAATAGGCGAGTATTAGACCTGCTCCCTTCTACATCAAGCAGACCTGAGATTGTTTACGAGTTAGTATCAGGATTAGGGTGTGGCTTACCACACCCATAGGTTATAAATCTCCAACGCGGGGTCCGAGAATTCATTCCCTGAAGAAGTCCCCAGGTTGAGGACGAAACGTCGGGAAAACTTGCTAAGAAGTACAGATGATGGGTGAGAAACCTTCCTTTGCTTTGACTAATCCCTGTACGACTGAGGGCTTACACAAACAATTATGTAAAGTAAAGTTACTTTCCAAACCTTTCCAAACATGAAACTAGGGCAAACTATGCAATATTCATCTCCTGCTAAACACATTTTTCTTTCTTTCTGTCCTGCTCTTGTTCTATATTACTAACTATATGACACTATATTCTCAACCGTTTTGCTGAGGCGCCGACAACATGGAGGTGATTTAGAAAACAATACATATGATAGAAATAAGAAGGGCATAGTAATAATAATAATCATAATCCTGTATTTATTCGTCTGTTATTGTGGTTACATTTGTCTCTTGACTTCACCTTGAGATAGAAGCGAGGTCAGTACAGGAGGCACCATCAGACCTGATGTAAATGTTTTTAGTGGAAGGGGAAACCGGAGCACCTGAAGGAAACTTACGCAGACACGGGGCGAACATACAAACTCCACTCAGAAACGACCAGGCTTCCAACTCAGGACCTTCTTGCTAACCACTCAGCCACTGTGCCGACCAAGTTACAGATAAATGAACCATAACTCTATACTAAAATACAATAAAATCTATAACTTTAGCAAAACAAAGAAGCATTAAGTAGTAAGATAAGATAGACTTTATTGATCTCACACTAGAGAGAGATAGAATCACTCAGATTGTGCAAATGACAGAAGTGTGCAACATGTTAAAGGTTAAAAATATTGTCTATGCTTTTTTATTATTAGAAGTATAAATTTTAATCTCTAAAACCCGATAGCTTCAGACTGTATTGTCTTTTTAGTGTTGATTTTCCCCTCCTCCAGGCTCTGACCCGGTCCAAGGCCTCAGACTCTCCTCTCTCTGGCTCAGACTGGACTCTCTCTGGTTCAGCTCAGACTGGACTCTCTCTGGCTCAGACTGGACTCTCTCTGGCTCAGACTGGACTCTCTCTGGCTCAGACTGGACTCTCTCTGGCTCAGACTGGACTCTCTCTGGCTCAGACTGGACTCTATCTGACTCAGACTGGACTCTATCTGACTCAGACTGGACTCTCTCTGGCTCAGACTGGACTCTCTCTGGCTCAGACTGGACTCTCTCTGGCTCAGACTGGACTCTATCTGACTCAGACTGGACTCTATCTGACTCAGACTGGACTCTATCTGACTCAGACTGGACTCTCTCTGGCTCAGACTGGACTCTCTCTGGCTCAGACTGGACTCTCTCTGGCTCAGACTGGACTCTATCTGACTCAGACTGGACTCTATCTGACTCAGACTGGACTCTCTCTGACTCAGACTGGACTCTATCTGACTCAGACTGGACTCTCTCTGACTCAGACTGGACTCTCTCTGACTCAGACTGGACTCTCTCTGACTTAAACTGGTCTCTCTCGGACTCAGACTGGACTCTCTTTGGCTCAGACTGGACTCTCTTTGGCTCAGACTAGACTCTCTCTGACTTAGACTGGACTCTCTCGGACTCAGACACTAACGACAGACTGGTCACCGCCACTTTCTTGGCCACGTTCTTGATTTTAAACCAAAAGCTACCCTGGTTTGACGCTTCCTGGAGCTAATTTTGCTCCTGCTCCAGCATGTCATTGTCATCCCCCATATTCACCTGTAGACCACAATCTACTCTCTCTCCGGCCGCTACATCCTCGATGGTCATCGGGGTCTGCACGGCTGTAGCCACAGCTGAGACCGAGCCAGATGAATACCAATATTTAGTCGCTATATACTGAAAGTCCCGATATTTACTGGCCTTCAGCTCTTCAGACTCCTTTCTCAGAGTGGAGAATGCAATGTTATCTCGTCCATAGGCTCCATCTTGTTACTTACTTCCTCTAACGGAGGAAGGTGATCCGGAGCCTGCCTTTCTTTGTTTTCTCCAAAGTATTTCTGTGCTGCTGAGGGGGACTCCTCATGAACGTTTGCTTAGGTCGGCAGATCAGACTCTGCTCTGGGTTCCTAAACTGAAACTCAGAATCTATTATGAATCTATTGTGATATCACATGTTGACGTGGTTGTTACATGGTTACCATAGCTACACACTATTCTTAGAAGTACACACTTTTGAAAACACAACATAAGGGTTAAGGTACAACCCCAGACAGAAAACACAGATCTGGACTTGGATTTATTTTGGTTCATCCCACGTTACGTCTTGCCCAGTGGGGGAGGGTCCCAGCTCAAAAGTGGCCAAAATGACATGCACTGACATGCTGCAATACCACCCCGGGCCGATGGGGGTGGACCCAGAAGAAGAATTAGCCAATGCTAACATATAGCATTGATAGACCTCTGGAAAACGTCTTTACAGGATGGACCAAAAGTTGGCTCTTGGCCCAAAGCTCCGTTCCACATGTGTGTCAATGCTGAGGGGGGTGGATTTTTTTGGACCACTCTAGTTTAGTCGCTGTGAATTTTAGAAGTCTCATGAATGGAGCTGCGCTGGCTGACGCATGCACAGATGCGTTTTTTCCCATTTTGGATTGGTCCAGTAGAGCACTATTTTGGCCCATTAGTTAGAACGGCGGAGATAGGCGTGACTCTGTCCGTTAATATATACAGTCTATGGTCTTGACGAGTGATTAATGCTGAGACTGAGAGTTTATCTGACTGAAAGAAAGACCAGGGCTGAGTCTAAAATGTCTGAGAGCCAGAGGTAGAAGGAAAGTTTTACTCTGTGTACTTTATAACAGTTTACTTTTACTCCTTACTTTACAATGACTAGTTGTGTGTGTGTGTGTGGCCCTCATGTGGTGAGTTTAGGAACAGAAACTTTAGTCAAAACGTATTAAAGGTAAGCGCCCTCTCCACTTTTTGAACAAAACTCCCTGGTCTTATTTGACGAGCGCGTATCAGCAGAATGATTGACAGTTAAGAAGACCACCTGGAAGTAGATAATCCTCCTACATACCTTTAAGATTGCCTTTGCATTGAAACATCAAGGAATAACATACACACAGCAGAGTTTAATTAAAAATAAAACAGCAACACATACAGTAGACAGCTAATATGGTCTAATAACCTACTCATCTATACAAGCTAAAGTACTTCACTAAAGAAAGTGTCTGAGTGCAAATAAACAGGGTAATACAATAATAATGAGAAGTGACTCCGTACTGTAAATATATATCATTATATTATATACAAATAAATGTATATTATTTGAAATATCATATGAAGAACATAATTCAAAAGGTTATTTTTGGTTTATGTCCCTAAAAAAATTTTTTATTTCTCTAAATACAGGGCCATCAAGTGCTGGGGCGACCACAGGGAGAGACCAGAGAGAGAGACCAGGGAGAGACCAGAGAGAGAGACCAGAGAGAGACCAGAGAGAGACCAGAGAGAGACCAGAGAGAGACCAGAGAGAGACTAGAGAGAGGGAGAGACAGAGAGAGACTGAGCGATGAGAGGGACTAGAAAGAAACTAGAGAGAGACCAGAGAGAGATAATAGAGAAAAACCAGAGGAGAGAGCATAGAGAGACTAAAGAGACCAGAGAGAGAAACCAGAGAGTGACCAGAGAGAGACTATAAGAGAGACCAGAGGAGAGACCAGAGAGAGACTAGAGAGAAAGACCAGACAGACTACAGAGATAAACCAGAGAGAGATTAGAGACAGGAGAGAGAGCAGAGAGATAGAGACAAAAGAGAGAGAGACCAGAGAGAAAGAAACTACAGAGAGAGAGAGAGAGACCAGAGAGAGACTGCACAGAGAGTCCTCTGAACAAATCACTGCGGTGCACACAAGCCACACATGTTTTCTTCTGACTTTAAATACAGGTAAATGTGTTGTTATACCAGCGGTTAGATGATGTGGTCGGAGTATACACACACAAAAGAAGAACATCAAAAAACGAGTGAAACAGCGGCGAAAGGAGAGAGACCCCTCCAGTCTTTCATGTGCAAGACGGCTTCTCACACATGAAGTTTTCTCTTGAATTACAGTAAATTTTCCTCCACTTTGTTTCCTTGTTTGGCAGTCATCACACAGTCCTCACCCTCAGGAAATATATCACCAGCTCCTTTCCAGTTGTCTGGTTCGCGTTTCCAAAAAGTTAAGCTATACAGGGAGTAGTAAAAGTAGAAATAAATTAATATGAATCATAATAGAATGAGAATAAATCAGAGCGATAAAAGCTTTTTATTTTGCATTGAATTTGAACTATAATTATCACAAAATTATAATTATACTCGTAGATTTCTGTAGATTTCAAATGAATGGCTCGTGCTCAGGAGCGCATGGGACTTCACGGAGACCGGGAGATTAGCAGAACTCGCCTGTATTTGGGCATGCGTTGCGCCAAATACGCGTGTGTGGGTCTCATGCACGGGCACAGAGGGGCTCGGCCGCGCTCTGACCAATCAGAGCTGCTGATCAGAGCAGCGGTAGAGCGGAGTCAGAGCGGGAAGGAGAGGAGCAGAGTTTGTGGCAGTAAAGTGTGGATTTAAAGAAAACCGAAGGATTTAAGAAGAAAAAAAGTTCAGGATGACAAGGGACACTAAAATCCCCACAAAATCTGACCTTTATGAAAGCTGTAGGTTCTCTGTCAGGTTCTCTGTCAGCTGAGCTCGAAATGTTTTAATTTACATTGAGTTCTATGGGACTTTTTTCTGTGTAGCCCTTGTAAATTTAGTCTGCAGTACCACAGGCGCCCCCTGTGCCCATGAGTGGGACAGCTGTAAGCTAGTTATACTCTATCCAGTTATTATTATAAATCCATGGTTCATTAAATTCTTGTAAACATGCGTTATTTTATTGCTATTTTGTCTCAAACTGTAACTTTAATTGATCATTAATATTCCATGAAAGAAGTACAACATTTGAAAATCATAAATCGACTGTGGCAGAGGCATTTTACAGCCTCACTTTGAGTCCAGCGAAGACCCGTCTGTCCAGGTCCAGTGCCCCTCTGTGTGAGCGTCTGTAAGTCCAATCCAGAACCAGTCATTCTCCAACACCAGTCTATTGAACAGGAATGTCTGAAAACACAAGATTAGTTATAGATTTTCAGACCAGGACTCAGGGACCGAACACAGAGAAGTACCTGCTCCTCTCTGCTCTCGATCTTCACCAAGTCTCCGTCCATATCCTGACATCTGGCTCTGGCCCCGTCCCTGGACACTTTAGTTTTGTTTGGGTAGAAATAATAGCACTTGGTTCCGTTGAGAGTCCAGTCCTTGTCACAGCCGAACGCCTGACATGTTTTTACTGCAGAGGACAGGAATAGATACGGTCGGCACTAGATCATATACGGAATCGGGACGAAACCGGAAGTAACACTCGTACTTTCGAATTAGTTTTAGACTAATAAGTCCTTAAATGGTGACTGGTTAAGTTTTAGGCGTCTGAGTAAGATGGTTAAGGTTAGGGTTAAGGCTGGGTTGGGTTTTTTTTATGGGAATGGCTGGATAAGTTTAGGCATGAATAGGTAGTTTGTTATATTTACTTCCGCTTCCGTCCCGATTCTGTATTTGATCTACTGTAGTGCTGACCGAAATAGATACAGCCTCTTAGAGTAATGGAAAAACTTTTTATGTTATGATAATAAAATGTTATCTTGATTTTGAGGCAAATGACTGGGCTTGATTCAGGCCTTGTTTAGACAGAGGCTGTGGAGACAGTGAAAAGCATTTTGCAAAAAGAGAAAACTATGTAGTTCTAGCGCCTGACCAGTAGGGACACGACACAGGCGACCCCCAGCAGTAGAACCACATACTCAACAACATCCCCCTCCGGCCGCCGCAAAGACAAGAAAGAAGCACATCATTCTGCACTTAACAGCAGCTGCATAATGGAAACTGAAAATAAACTGTTTGGACGAAGGAATCCTCCGTGTAGCGCTCAAAGCACACATAGCATTAGTCGACCCGCCGCTATTAAATTTGACCTTTTTTTGACTGGACATGTTCAAATGTACGTGGGGGAAGTGCTGAGGTCATCGCAGCAGAGAATTCACACCTTTTTCTTCACACGGTTGTGAAACTGCCCCCGCCGCAGCCTCTCTGTTCTGTTCCACTCTGGAGGCTGGTTCTCAACGTTTGCATTTTTACCTGAAACACTGTCCATGTAAACAATTGACCAAACCAATTCTTGGCTTGCAGTCATGTGACACATAAACTTCCGGTTGACAAAGTGGTGGTTTGGCCGGCAAGAGTTGCTGCTGGTATGTGGAGAAAATGCAACGCTTCCAAGTATTTTTTTTCTTTTTCGGATATTTCATGACACTTTGAAGCTACTGTGGTGAACGTTCTAACTCATCATTCTAACAATATGCACAAGGCAGAATTTTTCAACTACATGTTTTGGTAATATCAAGGTTGAAGCTACTGGCACCACGGCAAATGCTAAATATTGCCAAAATTAAAAATATTGTGTCCAGGGCAGACTTGGAGATTCTTATCCATTCTTTTGTTTCCAGTAGGCTGGATTACTGCAATGGCCTGCTCACAGGTATCTCCAAACATGCAGTAAAACAGCTGCAGTATATTCAAAATGCTGCAGCCCGAGTCCTGACTAGAACCAGGAAGTACGACCACATTAGTCCGGTCCTCAGGTCTCTGCACTGGCTTCCCGTGGCCCAGAGGATAGACTTTAAAGCAGCTCTCCTGGTGTACAAGTCTCTCCATGGCCTTGCACCAAAGTACATCCATGATATGCTAGTCCCATATGAACCAGCCCGGACTCTGAGGAGCGCAGGGACGGGACTCCTGTTAGTGCCCAGAGTCAGGACTAGACAGGGGGAGGCTGCTTTTCAGATTTATGCAGCTAAAGTCTGGAACAGTCTTCCTGAGGATGTGAGACTGGCTGCCTCTCTGTCAATGTTCAAATCCATGTTAAAGACTTTTCTTTTTTCCCGTGCATACAACTAGAGAATTTTATCTTTTTAACACACCTTGTTATTTATTGTTGTAACTTTTTGTGTTTTTAACTATTTTATTGTTTTTAATTACTTGTGTGATTCTTATGTTTTTAAATTACTTATGTGATTTTAATGCTTTTTAATTACATATGTGTTTTTTAATTGTATTTTAATGGTGATGATTTGTGCATTGTGTGGTGTGGACTGTGAGGCGCTTTGTGTTGCCCTGTGCAGGAAAAGCGCCCTATAAATAAAGATTGATTGATTGATTGATAATCAGTCTCCATTCCTCCGCTGCATGTCACTTACATTCTGTAACGTCTTTGTTTATGCTGTCTCTACCATCGACATAAAACATGTCTTCTGTCTGAATTAAAGACAAGATCCTAGACTAGGGATGTAAAAATCTATGAATTTTCATAACCGACCATCGAGCCTCATTAACCGGTTGAAACCGGTTAACCGCGTAGTTTATAATATTCCACGTTCTTTGAAATAACAGCCATTTCGAGCCGCGTACTTTTCATAAGAGCAGCTCTGCGTTCTACTGGATCAGAGCCGAGACAGCGGCGCCAAAACCCAAAACAGCTTCGGCACCTTTGCGCACAGAGAACTGCTGTTTTAATCTTCCCATTCTGCTGTGCTGCGGGTTAAAGCATTTTTAAGCAAAAGACGGCTCGTCCTCATGGTCAGGGCAGCGAGTGACGAGCCGCGTCTCGCAGGTCTC